TTGAGGAGCAGTTTTTAGGGGAGCAGCACTAGTTGATTTATCTGAAAATGAGTCTTGTAATTATGACCATATGAACGTCATGGACTCTAAACCAGCTAACTCAAAAGTGGAGTGCTTTTTGATTGTGATAAATCAAATAAAGGCCTTGTTCTTAAAAAGATGAAAGGGAAAAAACCTCTAAGCATCTTTGTAGTGTTTTTCTCTATTTTACAGTAAGTGTTCTAAATTGCTGGTTCTTGGTTGGGGCATCTAGAGAGTCCCTGACAATTAACTCACAGGAAGGGCCATAGGTGGTGATCTGTTTATTTTAACCCTGTCTCGCTTTGCAGATAGTTGGATTAAGATTCTAGAGTGTTCTTGTCTGTTGTGTTAGCTGTCTGAATAGCTGTGGCTGTTGTATTGCTGTAGTTAGGTCTTTGCACTCATAAATGCATTTTTAAAAGTTAGTTTTAAAAACATCACCTGAGATAGCTCATGCCTTCTTTAACTATTAGTAACATCTTTAAAATAGTTCCACTGAAATACCATTGACTCACTCCTTCCACATATGAATTCCTTCTTCTCGGTATGACCATAATTAGAGATAAAGACAGCAAGAACTGTTTTGAGACTGTTTTGACTTTACCACTAGGAGCAGTGAAATTATGCCATAAATATGAAGAAAGCAGATTTGGTTACCTTTCCTTTACAGAAGACTATTCAGTATACATGGTTTCATCTTGTTAATCGTCTTGATAATCTCTTCCTATTTTAATTGTACATAAAGAATACCACTTGTGTCTTTTTTTAAATTTGCTTTGAAATCTTATAGCAGTTAATAGACAGTACAAAAATTCTATTTGACATGTGCTTCAGGAAGGGGAAGAAGGTACTTTTTAAGTGGCATAGTCAGCTTTTTGAGGAGGTGGTTTTTTTAATGGGCCATATTGCGGCCCTGCTTATGGAAGAGGAGGCTAGATTCTTATCCTCAGTGATGAAGAATATGAAATTAAAATACTAGACCAGTTACATGTTTGAATAGGGACTCTCCTAGACATAGTGAGAGTCGGGTGGGAGTGGAGATAAGGATGAAAAGGGCATCCCATATCATTTTAATCACACCTCCCTGCGCTTATACAGATTTTCCTCTTGATTTTATATGATCATTTTAGGAATAAGGATGGGAATAGGCATATAACGATCACCTCAAAAACATGAGATTTTTATATTGATCAATGGAGGACATATGTTAAAAGGTTTGTAAGACAATCAGATGATCACTCTGAGTTGCTTGCTCTGAGTCCTGAAGCGTGAGTTCATTAGGACAAATCGTATGATCTATGGGGGCAGAACATGATCCTATGGGAGGCACAGCTTTGCTAATATATGCTGGCAGAGTGTATGCATAAATTCAGAAATTGATTTACACATTCTCTTTTCTTTCATAGGAATTCAAAAAAAGAACTAAATGATATTCGATTCGAATTTACTCCTGGGAGAGGTGAGGCATTGAAAACAAAATAACTTCTAATTTGTTGAATGAAATGTGTTGTGAAGTTTTTGTCCTTTAGATATATTTTGCTGTTAAAGAATGATAAAATTGTTCCTGCTTTAAAGAGTTATGGAGGCATATGAATAAAATAAAAATATAATTTAGTTACTACTAACTCCATTTAGAAATCCTAGTACAGTTGACCTTTGAACAACATGGGTTTGAACTGTGTGGGTCCAATTATACATGATTTTTTAAAATAAATACTGTAAATGTATTTTGTCTTCCTTACGATTTTCTTATTTCTTCTTTAGCTTACTTTATTGTTAGAATGCAGCATGTAATACATATAACATACGAAATATGTATTAATTGACTGTTTATGTTAGTGGTAAGGCTTCCAGTCAACAGTAGGCTATTAGTAGTTAAGTTTTTGTGGAGGTCAAAGTTATCCGACTACACTGCTGATCAGAGCCCCTAACCCGCTCCCTGCGTTGTTCAAGGGTCAATTATTTAATACAAACAGCAATTAATATAGCTCTAATTTACTGCTTACTTTAGGCCAGGCATGTGCTAAGCATTATCTCATTAAATTCTCAACACAGCCCCATAAGGGAAGATTACTGTCCACATTGTATAGATGATGAAATCAGTGCTTAGAGAGAGGTGAAGTAACTTGTTGCAGCTCACACAGCTGGGAAGAGGTGTAGCTGGAATTCAAACACAGATCCGTCAGAGTGTAAAGTTCTTGCTCTTACCACTGAATATGGTTGTCTTCCATGACAATAAAGAAGAAACAAGTCTTCCAGTCTCCTCTCTGAGGCTGGAGCCAAGCCCCGTCACGCATAGTTTTTGGCCATGAGCTTCTCCCTGGGACACGGCTCGTTGCCCTCGCTATGGTTTGGATTGGGGAAGTGGCCGGCAGCCAACACGTACCTGGCCTGTGTGCCATGCTTACTCTCCTGCTGTCTCAGTATCATCAGCAGGTGTTAGAACAGATGAAGATGCACAGACGTGCACCCATTTTGCTTTTTTAAAGCCAGAGTCAATCACATTTTAAAGAACTAATTCAAATCTTTAGTCATCTGCTCAGATGTGCACAACCCCTCCCCAGAGGGCCTTCCGTCCCCTCTGAGGGGCTCAGTGTTTAGTCTTCAGGAGGCAGCCCCGCTGAGTTAATTGGGGATACTCGCCTCGTCTTTAGTTTCTCGTTATACCCATTGCTCAGATTATACCACCTGGAATAAGTAGATATGAAGAGAAGCCCACCAGAATGAAAAAGAAAGTGATTTTAGCAAAAACCATGGAGTGTGATCCCCAAAGAGAAGAAATTACATTTAGTTCTCTCAAGATTTGAGAAAAAAACAACAACTTTTATTATTAGCCCTGGAGATGGCGCCTGCTCGTTATCGTGTCTCAGAGCGCACTGGGCTCGGGTCCGGGGTTGCCCTCAGAACAGGAGTTTCTTCTGCAACATCACTGTCAGGCGCTCTCCCAACAACGGCCTGAACCCATCTAAATCATACCATTATTTAGGAAGTTCTTTACATTGAGCTTATATTTGCCATCTGGTTGTATTGATTCGGCCCTCTCGCTAGACCTGTGAGAATCCCTCACTTGAAATAATCCCAGTTGTAGGAAAAACCTTTGAGTGGGAGGAAGACCCCCACCTGCCTTCCTGGTCCTGTAGATTTAGCAGCTAAAGTCTGGCAGTGCCAGCATCCGCTCTGAGAGCTGGCAGTGACATGCATGCACAAGAAATGGAGCGCCATCTTCTTTGTCCTTGCAGATACGGCGGAGGGTGTCTCTCAGGAACTCATTTCTGCTGGCCTGGTCGATGGAAGGGACTTAGTAATAGGTAACTTACTTTGTGCTCTGCCCTTGCACCCCTGTGTCTCTGTCTGTGTAGTTAAGACCAAGAAAACTAGGCTTGGACTCCACTGAGCATGTCTGATGATTCTTGGAATGGTTCTTGGCTTGGCTGCGCTAACAGTTATTGGGGACAGTTCCTTACAACAAAAATCTCACTTCTGAGTTTGCGACCCCCGAAGATAGTAAGTGAAAGCACACCCAGGTCTCTGGGAGACTCTGGTAGAAGTGATGGCAAAGTGACAAGTTAGTGTAAGTTTGGCCAAGTCTAATCCATTTTGGAGGATGAACTCGACCCTTATGGAGCTAAGAGGTAAGCAAAAATCTTTAGAGATATAGACCTAGAAAAAGCAGGAAGAAAAGACACAGGTTATAGGTGCATATTACTGAAGGAAAAGACCAATGTCTAGGGCAAATCAGCAAAGTTTTTCTGTAAAGGGCCAGATAGTAATAGTTTAGGCTTTGGGGGCACGTATGGTCTCTTGTTTTTAAACCCCCGTTAGCTCACAGGCAGAATAGAAATAGGCCGCAGGCCATACTTTGCTGACTCCCAGTCTAGGGCTTTCTGGCCCCTAAGGAGGCAAATCATGCTTCTTTGACCTGAGTGTCTTTCCTAAGTTAATACAGCAGGTTAAAGAAAGTTAATTTGACAGCAATTCAAGATGTATTTTGCTACTTGAGTGAAAAGATATTTTCGTTTGGGGCGTGGTTTATTTTTCTGCTTCCATTTTGATTGTACATAGAAGATTAAGATTCTAAACTACTATGTAAGTTCTTAAAATATGGTTGAAAGTGGATTTACTAAGCTTCTCATTACTCTCTCTGTTTGTATGATTACAGTGGCAGCTAATTTGCAGAAAATTGTGGAAGAACCCCAGGCAAATCGATCTGTCACTTTCAAACTGGTATTCATCTCTTCCTCCGTGTTAAACCATCTTACTTTTTTTCGCCCACCAGCAACCCTTGCAGACCAGCTTCCATATTCCCTGGGTGATGAGAGTTTTAAAATATGGTGGATTGTGGTCCTTTAGCGCCCCCCAGACTTGGGCTGAAGTCTCCCTTTGAGTGGCCTCCCTTCCTCTGCCCCTCCCAGGAAGTCTCCTAGCTCAGGCCCTTGACTGCTCTCAGGAGAGATTGTTAGCCAGCTGGACTCCAGCTGTGTGCCCAGCCACCACCCTTTCTGGAAGAGACACCTCCATCTGCCTCCTGTCTGTACCCCAGGGACCTGTCCCCCGCTGCCTGCCTTCCCACAGTCCCCATATCAGCTTTAATTGCTACTTATAATTTTGTTTATAAATAGCCACAGCTTCTCATTTTGTTTGGTTCTTAGGCATCTGGTGTCGAAGGCTCGGATATTCCCGATGATGGTAAACTAATAGGATTTGCCCAGCTCAGCATCAGCTAAACCACAGCTCTGGAGGAGGCGGCCTAAGGAGATTCCACACATGTGTATCTCTGTTGCTTCTGTTGGCCTAAACCCACTACTGCCAAAGAACCCAGCAACAAACCTCCCAGCTAGGAGCTTTAGAGGTCTTTCTTTATGTTTTCCTGCCGTCATTCCCCCTTTTTCCCACAGGGAAAGAAAAATCGGATCACCAGTGGCCAGCATCCCTTTAAAGAGTTCCGTTAGTAAACTTACTGCACATGTCCCCTACCTTCCTCCGTCTGAGAAGCGGCCCATGTGCTTCAAGGCCCAGGAGGGAGATCTCTCAGCTCATCTTGCCTTACTCCAGTGATGACACTGGGTGGAAAGTAGCAGCTATATTGGGCTTCCTTGTGCTGCCTGTTCTCCCACACCTGACCAGATGTGGGCATTTGGGGATATCTCTTTACCCCACTGAAGTAGCAATTAGAAGTTGATTGTTCATCTGGAGCCCAGAGAATTTAATTTAGGGTTTATTTGTTCTTTTTTTGTTTTATTGTTTTTGTATCTGATGTGAATTCTAGCAACCTTTGTTAGGAAAAAGCACAGCCTCAGATGGAGGCAGCCTAAACTGTGTTCCAGTTTTGTTCATGATGTTTCTAAGCGTTTTGCTGAAGCTGCTCTCAGGCACCCCTCTTCATCACTCCCTCCAGAAAGGGTTGCTAGCCTTAACTTCAGCCGGTGCAAAACATCTGACTGTAGTCAAACTTCAGCCATCAGATCCTTCAAAGTGAAACTTCGGACTGTTTTTAGAGAAAACATCAAGTAATGGATTGTAAAAATGAATTTTACCAGCAGTGGTTTTGGAACAGAAAAAGATCATAACTCATTTCATTGTGGAAGTATTTATTTTCAGAATTTAAAAAATGAAATTGAAGACAAACTGCTCCTCAATCCTCCCATGAAAATCAATTTGCCTGGCCTCCGAGTCATGAGGAAATACAAGGCTGAGATTTCTGCAGCAATAAGGAGACTCACGCTGGGCCCCAGAGGCCTGCCTTCGGCCCCCTCGCCTGCACTGACCCTTTGGAGGGGGTCCCCACTGCGGTGCGCTGAACCTGACCCAAGGCGGAAAGTGAAACCACATGTGCCGTGACTTTTAGGATTTATGAGTAGACAGTGTTCATTTGATTTTCTACAGAAATAATATAAATTATTCTTTAGGTTTTAAAAAAGAGCATTCATAATGCAATATGTGAATAATCAGTGGGGTTACTTTTTTTTTCCTGCTGTTTCACAGTCAGCCTTTGCCTAACTGCAAATAGCCCTCACAAGTTTTGTATATGAAAGGGGTCCTCAAATCTGGCCTTAAAACAACACCCACAGAGGGACTGTGGCCCCATAAAAAGGGGAGCGTTGCCTCTTACAGAAGGCAACGTTTCCAGCATCGTTGGTCTGTGAATAACAAGATGGCTTCACCTAGTTTTCTCTCGTAGCATCTCTGAAAGCTTTCCCCACAGCTGACTTGCTAAAGTTCTTATTTCATCCTGAGTTTGTAGTTTTAGTCCTGGTCTTGCTTCACCTACCCTGGATGCAAAGGCGTATTAGGAAGGAGTGGACGTCGGGGAGGAGGAGAGGGCATGGGTTGGAGACAAGGGTTGGGAAGAAGGTAGAGTAGAAGGTCAGACACCAAAGCCCATTATCCCAGCAGGATCATTAACAGGAGGGAGCCTGCTGAGCCTGGAGAGAGTGAAGATCGATCAGATTGCTAGAAAAAATATTTAGCTTTTCTTTTTTCTTTCTTTTCTTTTTTTATTTATTTTTTATTTTTTGAGGCGGGTGGCGGGAAGACAGGGAGATGTTCGAACAGGTATGAATAAAAGATAGTGTCCTCTTTGGCTCTAGACTAGTGGCTTACCTTCGAATCTGTGTGTGGGTGTAAACAAGCCCATCATAATGTATTTATTTATGAATCCAAAGGGTGGTAACATCACTCTGGTCTAGCTTTCTGGTTGGAGGGGGTCTAAAGCCCAGGCTGGGAGGAAGCGGCAGCCACCCTCCTGTTCCATTTCTCCAGCTGGCCATAACCTTTGAACTGCAGTGGGACAGGCATGACAGTAGAAGTGGGCTAGGGCTTTCTCTTTCCTTTCAGTTCGTTTTTTTGCCCTGCTGGGAATTAGGAGTCAGACACCAAACCCAGGACAGTGTTATTTCTCCTTCTGCATGATGTGTGGTGGACTCCCTTTGCTGTCTTATGCAGTGATGCTGAGAAAATAAGTGAACAGAAACTTCCCAGGTGGGACAGCATGTGACCCAGTGAGCGACCTGGCTCCTTTCCAGGAGTGGTGGTTCAGGGTACACCTCTGTCCTGAGGTTCCCCAGGATCCCCTGGTCCCTGGGGTAGGGACTAACTTTAGCACAAGGTAACATGTGCCAATGCTTTTTTGTGAAACGTATGGTCTTTCTAAATGACTAATGGATTTGTTTGGGGTTTTTGCTTAAGTTTTGAACCAAATCCCAGAGCCAGGTGATACTATTTAATAATCTGGAGGATAGAATAATGGTGTATCAATAAATGGAGGTTCCTCCTTATGACGTATGCTAGATTATGGAAGATGTAAAATATTTGACTTTGTCCCCCTTTTTTTGACTTTGTATTTTGCTGCATGTTTCCTTCATTTTTAATCAATAAAGAGGAAATTGTCTGTGGCGGTGTAAGGATTCTTTACTTTAGTGGCTGTTAGTGGGGAATAGTGGGGAGTGGGTCAGTCACTACTAACTTTAATTTTTCATGCGAATAGAGAAAAGCCAAAGTGCACTGTAAATTAGAAAAAGTGTGTATTGATCTACAAATTATAACAGCTTAAAACCTTTGTACAAATGGGGAAGCTGAAACCTTAAAGAGAGTGAGGTAAGATCTGCCCAAGGGAATTTCATAGGGTGAGATAGGGAACTCCTCGTGTTGATCTTTTCTAATTGATTCTGTTCATGCTATTGGGCAAGGAGAAGATGCCAGATTCAAGCCCTTGGGAGTCCCTTTTAGAAAGTTCAGAGCAGGGCCGAACGTGTCCCCATTTGGCTTTGATGTTGCAATTGTGGGATTTCACATAAGATTCCAGACTCTTCTGTATTCCTCCACGTCCTAGATAAGTAATCTCCCTGATCCTTAGTCCTTCCCAGCAGAAGGTGGCCTTTGAACCATGATAGGGGCCTCTTGTGAGTCCTGGTAATTAGAGCGCAAGTCCTAGAGACTCGGGAGTGACAGTAACAGATCTGATTGAATTTGCTTTCAAGATAAGCGGGTCGTAAAAGTGGACTCTGACTATTGTGGGGACAGAGAGGAGGTACTGCTTATTTAGAAGTGATCATGGTATCTGTGGGGGCAAGGGGACGCAGCAGTCCAGAGGCCTGATTCCCTAGCCCTGCATCTTCATAGTCACAATGTTCGGTGTCGCAGTTTACGGATTCCTCCTTTGGGTCAGCTCATCTACCCCTTTATGTTTTAGAGCACTGTTAGTCTCACAGCAAAATTGAGCAGAAAGTATGCAGAGTTCCCATATAACCCCTGAACCCACACATCTACAACTCCCACCCCCGCTGTCAACATCTCGCACCAGAGTAGTATATTTATTTATTACAGTCAACCTACGTTGGCATATCATTATCACTCAAAGTGACGTGGTACGGTGTGGGGGCAGGGGGAGCATTGTGTAGCCCTGTGATTAGGCCCAGCCTTGAGTGAACCTGGGAATTTCACAAGTGCTTCTCGGCCTCCCCACTCCCTGAAGCGGGGCAGGATGGCTAGAGGGGGTGGAATCGGACATTTTCCTTCCTTCGAGTTGGTCAGGCCCTAACAAAACCCCAAGAGCTTAGGCTCTGGTTAACTAGTTTCTCTTGAGGGCAGGCCTTGTTAAGAAGAGCAGAATGCTCTCATATATTTAAAAATGGTTATTTTTTCTACCCTGCAGGGGGCACAGCATTTTTCTCCGATATTCACTGTGAGAGCCTGGTAGAGCTCCTGGAGGTAAACTGCACACAGGGTGAGGACCGCACTCCTGGGTTTTTAACTCAGCTTTATCCTCACTGAGCCTCCAGCAATCACTCAAACTAGTTTAGATTTGCCTACTCTGTTGCTGGTTCCTATGCAAATTTCTGTTTGTGGATTTCTGCTCCAATAACTTACACTTCTCTGTATGTACCTATGTGTCTCTCCAGTTTGCGACAGCAGTATACCCTTTGACCTGACTGCTCTGATAAATGCTAAGCAGAGTTCTTGATTATTCAGTTCAACTTTTTACATGTTAGGATGGAGGGACAAGTTTCAAGCTCCTTACATATTGGACTGAAACCGAAAGTCCAAACCCAGTTTTTATCTACTAGAATCATTAATTCTCAAATTTGGAAAAGATTTGAGACATCATCTAGTGCATCCCTACAGGTAATGTTTCAGGAACACCTCCTCATCCACCAGACACACACACCAACGCCACCCTGTGCTCCATGGTCAGGTGATTGCCAGTGATGGTCCTGAACGCTTCCTACAAAGTGCGCATTGTACTTCAACAGCTTTGGTGGTTAGAAGACTCTTGTTACCCCCCTCTTTGGCTTTAGTTGTGCCCTTGAGTGAAGGCAGGCACAAGGAGAAGAGGAGGGAGACAACCTGTGGGCTCTTCCTGTAGTCTCCCAGAAGGTGGGGGTGACCAGACTGCTTGGAGAAGTCACAGACCAGCACCCATACTTGTGTTGGAGATAGCCTCCCAAGTCAGTGAGACCACAGGGTAGAGGTCCTTTGGGGCTACAGTGGTCTTGGGAGGGCTTCTTCAAAGAAGAGAGCTGGTGGTGGGCTTTGAAATACTCCGGGGAGCCTTTGGTAAACTGGTTGGGATGGGGGATGATAATAGGAGAAAGAAGTTAACCAAAAAATTAGGATTTGGGGAATGTAGAGGGCAAGCGAAGCCATTTGGATTCATCGCCTCTGCACTAAGATTTGGGGATCATGGTTCCAACTATGGAAGGTCTTTTGTTGTCTCACTCATCTGTCGGGAGTCTCCTTATCATCTATCTGTCTTCCAGTTTAGAATCACACACCAAGAAATGGAAGAATCCTTACAGTCCATCTAGTTCACACTTGACCTTTACGCAGATGGAGAAATTGAGGCCTAAAGGGGCAGAAGGAGCAGACTTAGGATCACAATGAATGAGTACAGAGCCCAAGCTTCCTGCCTCCTAGCTCCAGCTCCCTTGGCTACTTGGAGCCAAAAGCAACAAAAATCCTTTCTTTCCCTGATTGGAATGAGGAAGTAATGAGGACTCAGGTCCCCCCCACCCCACCCCATATCTCCCCCATAGTGGGAACTTCTAACGGCAGTGGCAACTGGTAGCATCTTTCTTTAGGGCAATTCAGTTGAGGCAACGCTGAACTCAAGAACACGCGAAGAAGAAGGTAGGTGAGGAAGAAAAGATAGAAGCTGGGGACATGGGCGAGCCTGGTGGGAGTTTGCGGTGGGCAGCAGAGAGGAACGTGCGCTCCGTATGCAGCATCAAGGTCCACAGCCTGCCCTCCCTTGACCTGCTCACATGCTGATTAGCAGGCAGCCAGCGGCTGTGCCAGCCAGGCCGCCAGGTAGATACAGGCACACTGCATCCAGAAATGCCCTGTACAGCCTTGTTCCTTGTAATGCCTTCACCCATTCTCCTCTGCCCAGCTCTTAAAAGAGTTTAAACTTCAAAACAAAAAGGCGTTCCTATGCATACCCAAGCAAATATGTGGATGTGCGCGCAAGTACACCGTGCATTTTCCCCTAATGCTCTCTAGTCCATCATTCCCCACATCCCATGACTGAACCAGACACCTTCCAAGCCCCGATCTACCGCCACCCAGTAAGACTTTCTGCAGGAGAATAAGGATGGGGGATTGTCCTGCCTTCCTGTTAGTCCCCAGTCCTGTAAGAATCCTGACTCCAGCAAGGTTGGGGGGGCCACCAACAGGGCTTCCCCAGCTGGGGCCGTGGCAGAGGGAGACTTTGTTCTGTGTGTTATCACTGAGATGGCCTAAGGCCTCTAGGGCTACTCTGGGGCAGCTTGCATTTGTTTTTATTGCGTTTATGGTTTGTTCTTTGATTAGAGCTCAAGATGCAACTTTTGGATCTGTAATTGCTCTGCATTCTTGAGTTGTCTTTGTTGCTGAAAAGGACAGGCATTTATGCCCTGGGTGGGTCTCCCACCTTCTGCTGCCCTGGGATTCACTGGTGTTGCATACATACCACAAAGATGGAGGCTGAGTCCTCGATGTTCTCCTGACTTATCCTCCACAGCCTACTCTGGGCTGGACCCTAGGAGAGACTTTCGTGCCCCTCTGAGTATTGTAACTACTCTCAGAATTTGGGTTCTCTTGTGTTGAGAGGGGCTTGAGTTGGATGTGAATTGTGTAGGCTGTTGCAGTTAGTGGGGGTGGGAGAGGTGTGCAGCACACTGTATAACTAAAGCTAAAGCTCACTCCTGTGTGCTGAGCCTAAGAAGCTCTTCTTGTTCTTCTTGTTACCTATCACACAGCCAGTAAAGTGTGCTTGGATCCTGCAAGCCAGAGTGGACTATTTTTTCATCATATTCTATCCTTCTCAGGTTGCTGAGGTGTAGAAGGTGGAGCTAGGCAAGGTGAGATTAAACATTAATGCAGCTGTCATCACAGCCCACAGGATCAAGGTGCAGAGCTGTTGGGTGGCCCAGGGCTGAGGACATGGTGACGAGTAGACATGGCTCAATTTTCTGAGGTCCTGGCCGAAATCGGCGACTTTGGTCGCTTCCAGATACGGCTGTTGCTAATGCTGAGTGTCCCCAACTTCCTGACTGCCTACTACATGTTTGCCCAGGTCTTCATCGTCCTGGATGAGGCCCATCATTGCTCAGTGGCCTGGGTCAAGAACCACACTTTGAACCTGAGCGCTGCTGAGCAGCTGAACCTAAGTGTGCCTTTGGATGCTGCAGGCAACCCAGAGCCCTGCCTCATGTTCCGGCCGCCCCCTGACAGTGCCAGCCTAGAGGACATCCTCAGCCACCGCTTCAATGAAACACAGTCTTGCGAGATGGGCTGGGACTACCCTGAAGACAGGCAACCGTCCCTAATGAATGAGGTAGGCTGCCTGTTTGCCGGTCTGTGCCCGCCCGCCGTTTCAGGTCTGTCACTTCCTCTGCCTAATCCTCTCCCCCCGGTCACTGGTGTTGCCTCTGTATCTGCCCTATGCCTCCATGCCTGAATGAATAACCACTGGCCCGATTTTTCTCTTTATCTTCTGCCTCAAGGTATGTCTGCCTCTCCATCTGTTTTCTCTGCCTGGATTCTGCACTCTTTGCCCATGCATCCATTCATGTTTGCCTGTCCTTTTGTCTGTCCTGCCTGTCTGTCCAGTTGCCTGCCTTTCTTCCGCCCCCTCCTGTTTCCCTATCTTGATGCCTTTTCTGTCTCCCATGTTCCCATCTGTCTGTCCCTTTGCCTTCGTCTGTCAGCCTGCCCCTGCGTGTCCTCCTGCTTACCTATCTTTCTGTGTTTTCCTCATTCTCTTACGCTATCCCTTCCCCTGTCCGTTTGTCTGCCTTCCTGCTGGCTTGACTTGGACTTCCTACTACCTTTCAGCTTCTCTCAGTCTCCGCCTGCCTGCCTCTGGGAGCCTGGAGGACACCTGTGACTCTAGAACTTGTCCTGTAGATAACTGAGCATCTGCTCTTGCTAATAAATTCATTCTCTTGGAGGGACCCAGTCCCCTACTCTCACTCCAGTTGCCTCAGAGCAGGAAGAACCCTGGGGAAGCATTGAGGCCCACTCTGTTGCATCCCAGATGGTGAGGTGAGGCTCCGAGTGGGCAGAGGACGTGGTCCGGGCAACCCCGTGGCTTCACCGTGGAGCTGGGACTTTCCCGCGGGCTCCTGCTGTCCAGTTCCCTGCAGGAGCGGGAGCGGGCACATGTAGTCCAGAAACCTGAGTGGTGGGTGCTGTGGGGAGGCTCTGTGCAGCTCTCACCGTTACGGTAGCAAATCCTGAGCCTTGTGGAGAGGGCAGTCTGGAGTCCAGACCTTAAACAATTATTTACCCTGCTATGGGTAAAAAAGTCTTTTGTTCTTAGAGGCTCTCAGAGGGCAATGTTTTAACCAAAGGTAAACTTTTACTTTTTAATATGTGACTATAAGCGTTCCCCCAGGACCCTGGCAGCCTGAGGATAGTTCCTGCCTATCTTCCTCCTGACCCTCCACCGCATTCTACCCCACAAGGGGAGAGAGTAGCATGGAACTCTCCAGCCTGTGGACCTAGCCCAGCCTAGCCCAGTCTGATGCTCACCGGCCTCTCCCTTAACTCCCCAGCATCACCTCCATCGTAGGCTGTGGCTGTCACTGGTCCTCAGATGCTGTGGGTGTGCCTACCACCACTCATGTTATGAACTCTCTGCCCACCTGGCCAATTATCACTCTCCTTAAAGCCAGGCAAACTTCCAGCTGGTGTGGAGCCAACTCTAGCCCTTGTTGACAGCCTATGCTGGACTATTCACAGAATTTTATTCACCCAAAGCCCTCTAAGTATTAACTGTGCAGGGAACAGTCAGAGGAAGGAGGCACCTTATCCCCCCTCTCCAAGGACCCCTGATGGTCGAGGGGCAGTCTGCGGTCCTTCTAAATGGAAAAAGGACTGGGTGGGCTCTGAGGCTAGAATTTGCTTCCTCCTAGAGGGACTGGGGCAGGCAACTTCCTGAAGGAGTTGGTATGTGAGCTGGGCACCAAGGTACCAGAAGAAATCTGACAGAGTAGAGGGGAAGGCCTTTGCTGACAGAGAGTAGTGAAATAAAGGCCTGGCAGCAGGAAGCAGGCAATGTCTGCGGAGCAGCCAGAGCTTGGTGTGTCTGGAATAGGGACGGACAGGAGTGTGGGAACTGAACGGGATGTTCTCAAGGGACCGCTCTCTCTATCCTCAGCCATCATCCTAGACTGGGTTGGACCTTAGTGTTCTTGCCCTTCCCTGATGAGCCCACCCTCACCCTGCCAAGGACTGTGACTCCCCAGGGAGTGTAAAGTTTTGGTACTTTGGGACCCCAAGTTGGGTTCCAGAGTAAAGGTACCCTGGTGGGAGATCTTCTGCCTCTGTTTCTCATCTATGAGGCGGGGCTGTGCCACACTGATTCAGAGGACCCTCTCTGACCCGACATCCTGTTTCCTTGTGATAACCAGCAGATTCCTATTCAAACTGAAATTCGAACAATCCTAATTTGAGAAGAAAGGAGCACGTTTCCTTATAGGCTGTGTGCTCTTGAAGGACAAAGTTCGTTTCTCCTTCTCATCACACACAACCCACTTTTCCTAGGCGTCCATTCTTGGTGAAAGAAAACATGAACCTGTGAATGGGGAGGGAAATAGACTATCAGTGAATAGCTTCAACAGTGTGGACTGACCTGGGACCAAAGCAGAGAGAGTAGCCAGGTCTAGGGTCTGGAGGCACAAAACTGCCTGGCATGCTTGAGGAATACTGACATCACACAAAAGAGGTTGGGAAATAAGCAAGTGCCAACTCTTAAAGGGTCTTAGACACATTGCTCAGGAATATGGGCTTTCTCCTAGAGACCAAAGAGAGCCATTGAAGGTTTTGGAACAGGGAAGGGAGATGTGATCGGGTGTGCGCCAAGAAATGGGGGCAGACATCTGTGGACCAGCGTGGCAGGCCCCAGACAGAACCATCCACTGTGGGCATTAAGGCCAAGGTGGTTGATGACTGGCGTCCCAAGTAGGAGCCCTCTTCACCTCTGTTCCATCTGCAACATGATGCCACCACATGAGCTGGTTACATGTTGGCACCTCTCTAAGCCAGTCTCTGCTCCTGCACGATGGGAATGGTAAGCCTTCATGAGGTTACAATGGTGATTTAATGAGATAAGGGGCATATGAACATCAGGGAGGGAGTGAATGGAGGCCACTGAGCAGGGATGCCAGCGTTGGAAGAATCCCATGGTTTGGCACCCATGCCTTCAAATCACTGCAGCCCCTCGTGTCTGAGACGACTGTGTCATCCTCTGAGTTTCATGAGCACAGGGGCCAATGCGCCCTCAGCTGAACTAACATTTACTGAGAGCTTCCAGGGTGACTGCCACTGTGCTGAGCTTGTTATATGCATTAACTCCTTTAATCCTGTCGGGTGATACTATGTAGTAGTATATTCTATCCCCATTTTATACAGGGGAAACCAAGACACCAACAGATCGGCTAACAGGCTCAAGGTCCACAAAGTCACTCCATTCTGGCTCCAGAGGCTGACAGCAGCAGCCTTTTAGTCATTATTTTTTATTCGTCTAACTACATAGGCAACCTGTGGCTGCTAAACAAAAGCTGAACAGGATAGAATTGGGTGGAGCAAGTTCAAGTCCCCTGCCCTGCCCTGCCCTGCCTCACTCCCATGAAGTACTAATCACTTGGCACATATTGAAAGTTCTTAAAAATTAACAGTTATCCTTGAGAGCACAAGTGTGAGCACAATGGTATTATTATCTGGGTTGATTAATTTCTTGCTAAAGGTTACTTCACTGATAATGATTGGCTTGTTGGCTAGGTATTAGTTTATTCGTTCATTCATTCATTCAGTAAACATTTTCTTACCTTTCACTCGGTTTCAATCCCTGTCTGGGGCAGTGGAGATGTCTGAATGCCCCTCACATCCAACTATGGGACCTAGGATTCACTACTTCTGCTTCCTTAGGGGAATATAATTATAAGTCAAGGATTGCTGTCAGAATTATATGGGATAATGCACATAAGGCATTAGGCATAGTACTCAACACAGAGTAAGTACTCAAAAGGCATCAGTCGTCCTTGTGAAGCTGTCTCCATGAGTTCCGGAGGGGCCCTCACATGTCATGTTTCACCACATACATTTGTGTATGGAGCTGAGCTGTGTGCAGGGGGTGCAGAGCTCACTGAGGGGCCCACACACCAGGGTGGGTAGGGGTGAGTCACAGGTACTTACTGTGTGTTCACACGCAGCAGACATGTGTACAGTTATATGGACACATATTTTCTCCCCGTGGTGTCCCAGTCTGTCTGTCAGGTTCTCTCTGTGTCTCCAAGTGCCTTGCCCCATGCGAGTGTGTGCCCCACGAGAGCACTCTGGCTCCCTGGGGTGCCTTGGCACACAGTTTGGGAACTGTGGGCCTCTGCCCTGAGAAACTTGGAGTGGGTGGGCTAGACGATAAAGGATTTGCCCTCACTGCCCCTGTGTCTGCCTCAGTTCAACCTGGTTTGCCATCGGAAGCACCTGAAGGAGACCTCGCAGTCAGTGTACATGGCTGGGCTCCTCGTTGGCGCTGTCATCTTTGGGCCTCTCTGCGACTTGTAAGAGCCTGACCCTTTCATATCTTACCCAGCATGCTCTTAGACTCCTGCTGCAGGGCCGCGTTTACCCCTGTGTTCCTCACTCTGGGCTCCCTCCAGTGGGGCCCCCAGGGCGTGGCACGTGTCCTCCCTCCCACAGAGAGCGTGGGGGAGGGCAGGGCTGGGTCTCCCCGGCTTCCTTCCCCTCAGAGCGTCCCGCCCAGACCTGCCCCCTTCTTCCTCCAGGATTGGCCGCAAGGCCACTATCCTGGTGCAGCTGCTCCTCTTCGCCATCTTCGGTCTGGCCACAGCCTTTGTGCCCAGCTTTGAGCTCTACATGGTCCTGCGCTTTGCTGTGGCCACTGCCGTTGCTGGATATACCTTCAGCAATGTCACCCTCCGTGAGTATCTGAGCCCTGAAGCCTTTAGCCACAATGGGAATCCTTGGGGTCTGGTCACCAGACTGCCCGTGGGGGCCTTGTCAGGCACCTGCACCCAAAGAAGTCACACTTATGCTTCCTGAGCTGGGACTGAGGCCCCAACCCTGATGAGGTGGCATCTAGGGAGACAGCGTGAGCGTGAGCGGGCAGGGCCCGCCCCGCCTCAGCCTCTCTTCCACAGTTACAGAGTGGGTGGGGCCCTCGCGGAGGACGCAGGCTGTGGTCCTGGCCCAGTGTAACTTCGCCCTCGGGCAGATGGCGCTTGCGGGCCTCGCCTATGGCGTCCGTAACTGGAGGCTCTTCCAGATTGCTGGCACTGCACCTGTCTTGCTGCTCTTCTTCTACTTCTGGTGAGGAGATAGTTCCCGGGAGCCAGCCACCCTCGGTCAGCTGTGCTGTGGTGGGTTTGGCGTGCAGCACTCATGTTCACTCTCAGACGTGTCAGGGAGACAGAGACTGCAAAGGGTGTGGGGGTCAGTGTGTGCCGGAACAGCCAGGAAGGCTCCAGCACTCCGTGCCCCAAGCTCACAGCTATTCCTGACCTACAGGGCTCTGCCAGAATCAGCAAGGTGGCTCCTGACCCGGGGGAGGGTAGAGGAGGCTAAACGATTGATCCAGAAGGCAGCCTCGGTCAACAAGCGGAAACTTTCCCCAGAGCTTCTGAGCCAGGTACTTCCAGCAGGCTGGGCCTACCCTGCCCCACGTCTCACACACACAGACGTTTCTGCTGGCCCCTCACTCCATGTCTTCCTCCCAGCTGGTCCCAGAGAAGACAGGCCCCTCAGGGAATGCCCTGGATCTGTTCAGGCACCCCCAGCTGCGGAAGGTGACCCTGATTCTCTTCTTTGTCTGGTGAGTGCCCTGGGGTCCATGCCCCTCCCTGAGGCCCGAGCCAAGGGCCGCCGCTGCCCTGGTATGTGTCAGTGGGATGTGGGATGGTGGCTGTCTGGCTGGGATGGGCTGTGTGGGAACGACTGGGTCTCTCTCTGGCTATGCTACTGTTTTCTCTTTTGACTTCTGACCTAGGCAGGCTGCCTCTCTGAGTGTCATGGTGTCTCATCATCCAACACTGACGGGGACTTTTGGACATTTTGTAGGTTTGTGGACAGTCTGGGGTACTTCGGCCTGAGTCTCCAAGTAGGGGACTTTGGCATAGACATCTACCTGACGCAGCTAATCTTCGGAGCCGTTGAGGTGCCCGCCCGCTACTCCAGCATCTTCATGATGCAGTGGTTTGGCCGCAAGTGGAGCCAGCTGGGGACTCTGGTTCTGGGTGGCCTCATGTGTATCGCCATCATCTTTGTCCCAGCAGGTATCAAGGCTGGCTCTCCCCCAACCTTTGCCAGCCTCGCTCACCTGTGGCCAGAGGCCCATTGCTTTCCTTTCCAGAGTGAGGGCTTCCCTGGGGTTTGAGTACAGAAGGGGTGAGGAGTTGGGTTGGGCAGGGCAGGGCGCAGGGCCCAGGTGATGGGGCCGTCTACCCTTCACGTGGCTAACCAGCATCCGTCCCCAGATCTGCCCGTGGTGGTCACTGTGCTGGCCGTGGTGGGGAAGATTGCCACGGCTTCCGGATTTACCATCTCCTACGTGTACTCTGCTGAGCTCTTCCCCACCATCATCCGGTAAGGGCCGCTGGTGCACCTCTGCTCCTGAGACCATCTTTCTTCTGTCCTCACCGCTGTCTCACAAATAGCCTGTGAGGCTAGCTCTGGGACAGCAGTGCTGGGTGGGACGAGGGCAACCTGAAATGTAGTTCAACCCCGCAAGTTGCCCCCAGGCGGGTGGAGGACAGATAAAAGGGTAGGACATGCCCTGGTCTTGTCAGGACTGGGGTACGGAGTAAATCTAAGAATGAGTGGCCCAGAAGCAACAGTCAGGTGCGGGGAGGGGGTGGTCAGGAGGTGCAGCCTTTGACCTAAGACTAGATAGGTGAGCAGGCATGTAGCAGGCAGACAGAGAGATCTGGAGGTGGGAGAAGCATGGCACACAGTTGGCTACAAGTAGTTCAATACGCAGGAGGAAGGCTAGGTGAGCCTGGAGGCCCTGGAGGCCTGTGGGTGCCAGAATGAGGGGTCTGGGTTCCCCCATGGAAGTGTGCTGAGGTGACGCTGTGGCCTGGAGTTGAGGTCGGGTCTGCTCAGTTTGTACTGGTCTTCCCCTAGGCAGACGGGCATGGGGCTCGTGGGCATCACCTCAAGGATTGGAGGCATCATCACGCCACTCGTGATCCTGCTGGCCGACTACCATGCAGCTCTCCCTATGGTCATCTACGGCAGCCTTCCCATCGTGGCAGGCTTACTCTGTATGCTGCTGCCAGAGACACGCGGCCAGCCCCTGAAGGATACCATCAAGGACCTGGAGCAGGGGCCCCCCGCACGGTGAGCTGCTTGCTTTCTCTGAAGCCAGGACCTGGGCCTCAATCCTAGAAGCCCAATCCTCTACCTCACCATCCGTTCATTGTTGCGTAGAGGCCAACATTCAGGGGGCCTCAGGAACCAGAGATACCGGGCTGGCTTTGGTTTAGGTGCCCCCTACTTTGGGGAGGGTTGGGGAGGAACACTGCCACGGGACCATTTCCTGGTCTGCCAGTGAAGCCTTTTGCTCCCTCCAGGTCTCTGAAGTCAGCGCCCTCAGAAGTGGAAATGAAGGCCGCAGGAAGAACGTCCGGCCCAGGGCTGGCCTGTGTGAGCAGCACGTACTTCTGATGCCACCCCCGGGACACGGCTGGGACCTGAGGGCAGGACCAGCTTTGCCGATGGACCTGGCTCAGCACCAGCACCCACTGCCAAGCCCACTCCCAGAGGCACTTGGGACAGGGCCTCCCGCCTTTCATTACCTTTCTTATCCTCAGGGCCCCACCTCTAACACCCTCTCTGGGTTAGGGTCTTGGGTGAGTTTTTGGCTTAGCTTGTTTTCTGATCGTCTTATGGGGCTCTGGCTCCCCTGATCCTTTCAATCTGGGCTCCCCCTGTCCTCAAAACACAGCCAAGCCCAGAACAGATAGGGCCTTTCTAAGCGTGTGGAGTAAGAGGAGAAACAATGTGAATTGTGGACCCTGCCCATGCAGGTGGATGAAAAAGCTGTGGGTGAAGAGAAAATGGTGGTTCCTTCGACTGGCTGGAGCAGGCCCTTCTGGCTAAGGTGGGGGGCCCAGGGCATTTTGTCCTGCTGAGATAAGACTATGTCCGGTGGAAATCAAAGCTTCCTCCTTGCATTCTCCTCAACCATCCTCTGGCCCCCTGCCCCGCACTCAGCTCACTGCTAACCTGTGTGGCTCAGGGACCACAACAAGCAGAGGTGGGTTCTGTTCCTCTCCAAGCCCCCCGCCTCCCTTTCTGCTGCTTCTGGCTCCTGCAGGGCCCGGACAGGGTGAGGGGAAAGGGCCGCTGTCTTGACTTAGCTGCCCCGGGTTGTAGCTCTTTCCAGGTTGTGCTGGCTGATCAGCCGTGCACTCCAGCAGGCATCTGAAAGTCGGCTCTGTCACGGGGCGTATTCGTGGCTTTCCAGCAACCTTCTCAGGACCTCTGCGTTGTTCCCTAATATGAGCAATGCCCTTAGCACTGACCTTGCGACCCTCGTCAGCTCCTGCTCCCAGCATTGCTCCGCAAGTCGTCTCGCTTACTGCTCGCATACCTTACCGCAGAAGACCCCCCTCTCAGGCAGGACCTCTTAAGCCAGGCTACCTGGCAGCTACTCGACCCACATGAACACCATACATCCTTGTGCCACCAAGAGTGGGATAAGAGCTCGGTTGGCCACTACGCCTTCCTTTGCCGTGCCTTCAAACGCATCTCTGGCTGACCTCTCTTCGGACCGTAAGGTTCTGCCTCTCCTCACAGGCACCAGGGTTCAAAGAAGGGCTCTTCAGACCTCCCTCCCTTAAACGCACCGTCTCTGTTGGAGCGTGGAGGTGGAGGCAGGTGCTGGACCAGTTCTGCTCTTTGTCAGTCCAGCATGGAAGCATCCCGCTCCCCACTTTCGATGACGTGGATCTTTGTAATGCACAGTTCTCAGCTTGGACATGACAGGCAGAAGTTCTATTTAACTCCCTGCTACACACCCAGTCATGGAGTCCCAAGTCTAACGCTCCCCTTGGGGACACTCAAAAGTCCTTGGCGCTATGTGACCCCCAGACTGAAACTGCCAAGGGGGGTAAGGGCCTGACTAGGAGGTAGGAGACGGCCATTTCAAAGCTGAAGGCAGCTTTCTCCTCTAAGATGTGGACTTGCATCCTTTTGAGGCAGAAGGATCTTCATTCCTGGAGACTTAAAGGGACCCTTTATTGACACAAGCATAAATGTAAGATTCACCTGTTGCCTCTGGGCAGGTCTTTAAAGACTTGTATCTCTTTAGGGATCGTGAGCCACAGGGGAGAAAGATGTATGTATGTATGTATTACAAAGTGCCCTGTGACGTGTTCTAGACAAATGGGTACATGTTCGTCTTTTAGCAGTTGCTGATGGGAGGTGAGCAGCTGAGACCCTGGGACCTCAGAGGACAAGATATGCAGGCCTGATCTTGACTCTACCCTGAGAAGCAGTGCCCAGCCTGGACTGGGCAGTGGCTGTTCTCTCTAGGGTGTTGGTGAGCACAGAATAGCCCAGATTTGGGGGACATGCTAGCGCTGGACCCATTACTCATGTTATCGTTAGCTTTGAGGGGGCGAGTACAGGACTCATATCTTGGGCCTTTGGGGGCAGGAGCCTTCTTACTCTGGGTCTCGGGCTTCCCATTTTCTAGTGGATGACTTTGTAGTTCCCTTTACACTGATCCTCAAGGATTCTAACCTCGGGTGCCCTGGCTGGGTGTGAAAGGCAAAGGGCTCCAGCAATCTGCCCTCAGGGTCCAATTAGATAAGAAAGGAGGGCCATCCCCCATCCCAGATCACTGCCAGGCACATGGCAGGGCCGAGTCCTGAGTGTGGCCCTGACTCATATATCACTAAGCTTTGCCTCACTCACCCACTCGCCTGTCAGGCAGGCCCTGCGTGCCTTGCCCTGCCTTTGGGAGTGTGCTGGACCCAGAGATGCGCAACTCTTCTGCAGCTGTGAAACTGCTCCCAGAATCTCGGAATGATGCCATGGCTGAGGAGCAGAGGACACTGGTGTTAAACAAGGCCGCTGACCCCATGTGCCAGGCCTGGCAGGACCCCCTGAGGTTGGACATCCTGGAAGAGAACTGCAGGGCCGATGAAAAGCAGGCAGGAGGGGGTGTAGATGCCTTTTACTAGTGAAGACTCGCGATGAGCAGGGGCTGCAGCTGTAAGGATTTCTGCGAGTTTGAGGAACCAGATCTACGTGCGGCTTGCAAGGCCACATCCTTATTATTTTTTTTTTTAAGATTTTATTGGGGAATTGGGGGAAGGGGAACAGACAAGTTGCTGTCCTTTTGTTCTTCAGTCTAGTTGTGGAGGACGTTGCTTCACCGGCCCATGTTGTTATTGCGCTCTTCCCGGGTGAGGCAGTCGCTCACTGGCCATTGGACGGCTGCTCACAGCGGCTCTTGGCAGCTCATGCCGGCTGCCGGCCACCCACGATAGCTTTTGGCAGCACACTGCAGCCCCACTGCAGCCTACGCTGTTGCCGGCGACTCGCAGCAGCCCAGCTCCAGGTCGAGCTGTTGTTCACCATCTTAGCTGTAGAGGGCGCAGCATCACTGGCCCTAACATGAGATCCGAACTGGGGCCCTTCTGCTCAGAGCTTGCGCTCCCAAACCAACTGTTAACCAACGCGCCACTCGGCCGGCCCCACGTCCTTAATTTTGAACTTTGTTCTGAAGGTACTAAAAGCTACTGATTTTCTTTTTTCATTATGCAAAGGAGCCGCCCAGTAAGATTTGTATTTTAAAAATGACCCTCTATCTAAAAACTGTGTTGGAAGAGAGCAAAAGTATAAGCAGAGAAGCCAGGCCAGGGCGTCATGGCAACAGTGAAATGTATTGCCGACATTTATGACCTCAGTTGATCCTCACAGCATTCAGATGATGAAATGGGTTGGTGGCAGTGGAACTGGGAGGAGGCTGGATATGAGAGCAATTTAGGAGGTGAAGACCCTTTGGTTGATTGCTCCCCGGGCCTGTGCCCTGGGCGCACAGCTTAGCATCTCGGTTTCCTTTGGCTCTACCCAGGGGAAGCCCCCTGGCTGCTAGGCCCAGCGCCTGCCCTCCTAAGAGACCCCTGAGATTGACCACCGTACTGTGCCTCTTGTGTTCAGTATGTCAGTCTCCAAAGTCAGAGGCACCCACACACACATGCACACACGCACTTCCCCTAGCCAACTCCTCTGCTTTGCACTGTCCCCACTGACTCAGCCTGCTGACCTGGCCCCACACCCTCCCACTCCACCCGTGGTCTCCAACCTGTGTTTCTGGAACTGCTGCTCCAACTCCAGCAGAAGCCTCATGTCCTCAGCCCTTGGAGAAGGGCGCTCCATCTGCTGCCTCTTCCTCTGGCCATGCGTCCTCTCACAGCCAGGGAGCTGGGCTGACAGCCCGCGCCACTTCCCATGGCGGCTGCTCTCCACCATTTCCGCCTTTCCCACTTGGAAGAACCTCCTCTTGTAGAAGCATATCTCTTCTTGCTCCCACCTCCTGCCCTCCATCTCACGCAGCCTCACTCACCCAAAGCTTCCTGGTTCCTGGTTGTCCCTTCCACTCCAGCTCGGGAAAATTCATCTCCACTTCCAAAATCTCAAAAATGTCTGACAGATGAGTGAATCAATGAAGGAATCTCTGATTCAGACATCCTGTTCTCCGAGCACAGCATCCCAGACTTCCAGCTTGTTTGCTCCATCACTGAATCTGCCTTAGTCTGGCCAGGCTGCAATAACAAAGTACCATAGACTGGGTGGCTTGCAACAGAAATTTATTTTCTGACAGTTCTGGAGGCTGGAAGTCCAAGATCAAGGTGCTGGCAGGGTCATGTTCCGATGAGGGTCCTCTTGGCTTGCAGACAGCCACCTTCTCGCTGTGCCCTCACATGGCTTTTCCTCAGTGCTTGCAAGTGGAGAGGGATGTCCCTCTCCTTACAAAGCCAGTAACCCCATCATGAAGGCCCACCCTCATGACTGCACCTAACCCTAATGACCTCCCAAAGGCCCGTAGCCACACATCATCACACGGGGGACTAGGGCTTCCGCATAGAAACCGCAGGGGGGCGGGGCTGGGGAGGACACAGTATTCAGTTCACACCATCCTTAGTCTCATTGGTTCCTGTGGTCTGTTGACCTTGTTACTGCCTCCCCACCTCTGTCCTCTGCTCAGATTGGAGGATGTAAGCCATCATTTGAATTTCTCTTGGGAGATAGGGCTCATTTTCTCTGTTGCCAGCACCATGGATTTTAACCCTTTCATCCTTCGATTGTACCCAACTCACAGAACCACGGCAGCAAATGAGCCTGATTATCTGCCTTCTCTCTCCCTGCCCCCCAGACTGCTGGGCACTGCTGGAGACAGTCACATGCCCAGCAAGTCTGTTCTGTGAATTAAGGGCCGTCAGCCTCAAGTGGGCCTTTAATAGTATCTAGCATTCCCACCAGCTTTTTTCTTTTTCTTTTTTTTTAGATTTTTTTTTATTGGGGAATTGGGGGGATGGGAACAGTGCTGGGGAATTGGGGAAAGGGGAACAGACAAGTTGCTGTCGTTTT